TGGATGCCATTCCCAATGAAGATGAGGAGGACAAATCCAAAGGTGACTTGTTATTCTTTTACTTGGTGAAGACGTTTGCTCCTTTGCCAGGTCAGCTAAGTGTAATCTCATTCATGTTATTTTGTCCATTCTTGCTTATTGGAAACTTAATACTTTAACCCAGTGAAATTAATTTTGTTGCAAAATAGTTTTGGTGCTTTCCAGGTAAGTTTTTTAAATTGGGGATATGAGGGTTAATTTCATTAAAAAAAAATGCACCTTTACTTGGTACTTGGTACTTGGTGGTTATCCTGAATACTCCACGTGGAAGTCTAGCAAGGAGGCCTTGGGGAAGTGGAACTAAATTAAATCCTTAAAGGTGTTGTGGTTTGGGGCGTCTGTGGTGTCTTGAGGGAGCTTGTTCCATTTCCGGATAGTTCTTGGTAGGAATAACTGCATATAGATGTCTGTCCTTGCTGCAATTTCTGTGAACTGGTGGTTGTGAATTCTACGAGCCGGTGCTGGTTTGGGGACTATGGATGATGAGTTAATGTGAACTATGTTGTGTATTATTTTAGTAGGTAAGTAGGTAAGTTGGTTAACTTTCCTTCTCTCTTCCAGTGAAGACCAGCCTAGGGTTGTCAACATGTCGGTCACACTGCTCAGTCTGGAATAATCTCGCATTACGAAACGAGCAGCCCTCATCAGTTGCACTTTTTTTCCAGGGATGTTATGTTCTTAGCTATGTGAGGGTTCCAAGCAATGCTGCCATATTCTAGGTGTGGTCTGACTACTGCTAAGTACAGCTTTTCTTTGACTGATCTGGATGCAGAATGAAAATTTATTTTGATGAAGGCGGGGCCCGCTTCCCGGAGATTCGCATGATGTTACATTTGCTGGAGTTAAATTTCATTCCCCAGGTTTGCGCCCAGTGAGCCAAGTTGTCCAGGTCCTTTTGGAACATCAGTTCACCAGTTGATGAGTAGATCTTCCAATATAACAGGCAGTCGTCAGCGAAAAGGCGAGTTGTGCCAGTCACTGATTTGCTAATGTCATCGATGAAAAGTAAAAACCGATGGGAAAAACCGATGTCTTCCTTCCAGTCAGATGGTAGAGAACCCAGGTCAAGTGATTGTTGGAATATGAATGCGAGTACTGGGGCAACTTCATTGGCAGCTAGTTTCAAGTTGAGCGACGTCAGTAACTTGAGGACTCTGCTAACAGACACGGTGATGTTTGTCAAGTCTGAGTAGGGACTCGGTGGTAGAACTGGCTGCACATCGGTGTCATCCCAGCTGAAAACACTACAGAATTGGTCTTGTAGGGTTTCAGCTTTTTCTTGGTCAGATGTGATATTTTTCCTGTTGAGTTTTAGAACCTGAACCCCTGTGTTGTCTTTACGAGTGCTGTTTACGTAGCGCCAACATTTCTGGGGGTTAGCTGTAGATGTAGTTTCTTGTAAATGTGTGCGTTTAGCCCTTCGGATTTCGCTGTTCACTTGCTTTTGGGTCATTCCACCGGGTTGGGAAGCAGTGCATGTTACATCCATATATTTGGTTATATTATTAAAAGTATCAATGCATTCTAAACAATTGCTCAATTTGATATTTGTCTTAAGGTGTTTCAATACTTGAGAAAGTTTGAAATCATTTGAAAGTACTTTGACAAAAATATAAGCAAAAATGTCATATTTGGACGTAACATTGACACCGTGTCAATGTTACATCCAAATATTCTTTGTTTCCCATTTTTTACACGTATGTAAAATATTACCCAAACTGACATTGCATATTTACAACTGGACACCTAAGCACCAAGAAAAGCTTTTGTTTTGGTATAGTCAGGGTTCAAATATAGCAGAAACAATACCTCTAGTGTGGATGTAACGGTGTAAAAATCACGCAATGGAAGTGTGACATTGGGTTTTACACCGTGTCAATGTTACATCCACACAACCAAGCTATCATTTCTGCTCCATTTGATACCTGACTACCGTAACAAAATTTTTTTTTATTGTGTTGCATGTATAGTAAGAAGTTAGCAAAGTGAATTTGTGTGATGTTTCGCAGAAATTTAAAAAAAGGTACAAATGTCACATTTGGACGTAACACTGACACGGTGTCAATGTTACATCCAAAATGACATTTTTTTGCTCATATTTTTGGCCAAATACATTGAAATGATTTCAAACTTTCTGCAGTCGTGAAACACCCAACAACAAATATTATGTAGAGCAACTGCTAGCAAAGCATTTATGCTTTTGTTAATATGGTCATATGTCACATATGGTTCCCCAACCCGGTGGAATGACCCTTTTGCAAAAGTTTGAATGTAGACCGCTTGTTACTGCCTTCACATAGCTGCGCTCTTTCTTCCTGCAGCAACGGATTAGGACAGTAGTGAGCCATGAGGGTCTAGAATGTCCCTGGACTGGTTTTTGTGGTGCATTGTACTAATTCGTTAGTTTTCAGCCTGTCCCTAAAAATACTCCAATTTGTCTCAACTGTTCTGGTTTCAGGAGATGACTGCATGAATTCGGTCTTAAGCTCTAGCCAGATTTATTCAGCTTGGATTCATCCACATCATTCCACTTGAAGATTGTCCTAGGGGGCTTGACAGAGCGAGGTGCGGTGATGTTTATGTCAGCTAACACTGTTGCGTGATCGCTAATTCCGGAGTTGCTGTAAACATTACAAACCAGAGTTTTACGTGTGGTGAAGAGCAAATCTAAGATGTTATATGTTCCTGTAACTGGGTCTCTCCTTGTAGTAAAATTTGCCTTTTGTTGGAGATTGTAGTCATCTGCGATGTTGATCATTTTGGATTGAATACCGTTTGCCGAGAAAGTACATGTACCAGTCCTTGAGTTCCAAAGCATGCCCGGGATGTTGAAGTCTCCTGAAAGAATGATGAATGGGGAGTTTACCTGAGCCTGCAATTTACTCAGACTTCTGTCTAGGTTTTCTAGAGATTCTGGCCTGTAGGAGTCGGGGGCTCTATATTATGCAGAGATGAAGATGTCCTCTCCTTTCGGCTTGAGCGGTAGTTGGCACCAGAGTAATTCACAACCATCTTCAGAAAGTTCAATGGCTGAGAAACCATCCTTAACCAAGATAAAGACACCTCCGCCACATCTGTCGTTTCCTCTGTCCTTGAACCTTTGTTCAACTGTCAAACTTGTGAATTTCTGATGAATGAATGCAAAGTTTACAAAGCCATTCATATCTTAAAACATTCATTCTTTTATAAAGCCTTGTCCGCACTGGACTTTCTTTGGTCAAACTTACCGAGACTATGGGTACTTTTCCCATTTTAAGTCCAGTGCGGACAGCGTGGGACATTTTCCTCTCAGTTACTTTTCCTGAGTCCAGCGGTTACTTTTACTGGCCAACTGCTGCCCAGGAAAACTGACCACGCACCCAGGAAAATTGACCAGGTCACTTTTCCTGAGACGATAAGTCCAGTGCGGACAGTGCGAGTCGGTAAAAGCGGCTCAGGAAAGTGACATCCGGCCCGAGCGCGAGTATCATGCATACAGAGACCGCACGATCCCACACGTGATGTGGCCGAACATTTTGTGGAAACACGTACCGGTACGCTGCGGTGTGTCAAGTCCGAGCGGTAAAATCTCGTTATAAATATATTTTAACGGAGAATACATTCACAGAAAATATCAAGATCACATTCTGGGAAATACTTTGCAGTTATTCTTTTTCTCCAACAATGTTTGTTTTGTATTTTCTATGATCTAAATTCGTCCTGTTACGCCGTGTAGTCTGCATGGCACCGTACGTAGGCCGCAGTCCCTGGTTCCGGTCCTACATCATAGCTTTGATTCTGTTAGCATGAGGTGGGAACCAGCGATTACCGATGGAACTGCTGCCGCATGGCTTCGATGTCGTCCATCACAAATGCGTCAGAATAGTAGGCATTTTCGTCAAGATTTATCATGTCAAGATGAAATAACATCGTATGTAACGATTATATTGTGCATTTTAATGGTGTGTGTAATATTATACTGTGCCTATTGGGGCTAAAAAAAAATGTGATTGGCATTTTATTTCCTGTGCACGTGACTGTGACAGCTCGGTCACTTCTCCCACACGGTCTGGGTAAAATTTCCCGTGTCGAAAGTCCAAGTGCGGACAGTGGTCACATTTGACCATTTCTCATTTTACCATCGTCTCGGTAAAACCTTCAAAAAAAAAGTCCAGTGCGGACACGGCTTAAGACGGAATTTTGCGTCGGGGTGATGTAAATCAAATTTGGTTTTGCCCTTCACCGACTATCCATCTTATGAATAGTTAATGCAGTACCCACTGCTATGTACATCAGATTTGAACCAACCAGCTCGGTGGTCGAGTGGTAAGATGTCTGCACTAGAAAGCAGGAGGTTGTGGGTTTGAGTCCCACCCCAGTGATTTTTTTCCAACTTTCACTCGGGAGGTACCACACTGAGTATACAGTGTTTATACGTCGGTGCAGGGCGAAACCTTATTTGATTCATTCTTTTGTTGATTAATACAAAGCCCATTAAAAAAGGCAAATAAAAAAACCGGAATCGTGCTGAGACCACTGAATGAACGCTGGGACATACGGTTACATCGCGTCGTTCAAACAAGAGTTGGAAATTTAACGATCGATCGCGAGGGAAGCTCTCAGAATTGAACGGGAAATTTCACTTTTCATCTGACTCATAAGCAAACTTTAGCACCTCGATTTTAATCATCGTCTCTCCTTGTACCTCAGGTGGCGTATCTCGTAATTTGGAGGCTGTTTTGAGGTAAATCTGATGTTTTTATTTGCCAATGTTGTGGTTTTTTTGGTCAACGGCAGTCGGCAGAATAGTGTCGCGCAACGTTTTCTCATGGTTTCTCGAGAATCGCCACCAAAATCGTTGAAAAATTTCATATTTTAGTCTTCATTGTTCTGTTTGAAGTTGATTACTAGCTTCGTGAATGTCTGTTGCATCGAATGAGGTATGAATTATGGAATCTGGGTCGGGATAATATCTAGGGAAAATGGACCGTTTTTGTAATGTACTGGGGATACAGAGTCCGGGATTTCGGGACTCTTACGACCCGGTGCTTTTAACGTAGTTGTGACTCCAGATCTAATGCAATAGGCATTAGAGCTGGAGTTACTCAAGCTACATGTAACTAGTGGACAAGGCCTATCTCTGTATTAACCGTCACAAATCCGCAAGCTTATTGATTGGGTTTTTATATCCTAGAGTTTAAAAGTGCTACAGACAAAACTTCATTCGAAAATTGGTCCTGCCATTTGGGTTTCGGGTTTTTTTACTCACCCAATATTTTGTAATTCTTTTCCCAGATCTGTTGGAAAAGGAAGACCTGGGGACGCGCATCGGCAAATTATCAACTCACATTGATGAGATCAAAGGTGAAATCTACCACGCCGTACACAAGAAGTATGCCAACTACAGACCCACCAGGGACTCCACCCAGGAGCTACACAACAAGGTGCAGACACTGTCCACTGAGATGCAGACTCTCAGCAATAAGATCAAGGTATGTCATAGTCTTAAGGCCCTAGTAACACATTCACGGTTGGACCTGCGAATATCCACCGTTTACCAAGAATCAATTGATCACAATGAACCGTCAAGACTCATGGAGAAATCGACACTCTAAGAATGCACTAGGGTTTCAGGACGGATAGCCACAACTGTCAGAGGTTTCTTTACGAATACACCACGATTTCTTGAATGGATTGTTTATGAATATTGACAGTATTACCAAGAATAATGATGTTAATGCCACAGTTGTCTGCGATTGGGCCACAGACGACCAAGGTTCTCCTACAAATAAAGTATAGTCATATTCGTAGTACAACCTTAGCAGAATTCTAGCATATCTGGGCATAACCGTAGGACATTTGTAGTGAATTCGTAGAGATTTCCACCACGAATGAGCTACAAATCTCCAAGAATATGTATGAATAGCTACAAATAACACTACGAATTAGTTCGGTTGTTCTATGGATGTCCCAGGGTTCTACTGCGCATTGATTTTCATGATGATTCACCACGGAAGTTTGGAACAGTTAAGAACTTTGTAGCCCCTCCATGAATACCAAAGGAAGTTGACGGATAACCACGCAGATGTTGAAGATGAATGGTTATCATATGTAGTATGTGTGGGACTGAAAGTGAACAGTAAATTGCCTGCAGAAGTCACGTTTGTGCACTAGTTTCCCCCATTTTGTTTTTGTTTTTTCTTTGGGGGGGGGGTATTAGGAGTTGGCCTAGACGTTTTGATGGTGGGTGGTATTGGTTGGTCGTGAGTGAGGGCTCCCTCTTGCGGGGGTTATCGCTGCGGGGGTTATCGCGTATCAAACCATAATAACGTCTAGCCCCTAGACTAGGTATGTAGGGCTGTCTGATCAGATAGGCATTGGTGTCTGTGGTTATCACTTATTGCACCATTGGTAAAAACCTAGCCTATTCTATGGCCACACACTGGAGTAATCTCTGTGCTAAGGGCCATACAAGTGTGAGCACAGCAAGTTGATAAAATGATCCATTTTTTTCATGGAAATATTTTGGCCTTATATTTGGCATAGGGGTTCTTTTTACCCAAGCGTCCCACTTTGTGCCGAAACCTCATATGGTTCAATACTTTGAGGTGTCCACTGGAATGTAAATTGTCAAACAATTGGCCATGCACAACGGCCAATTCAAGATCAACACACAGTCTGGCCTGTATGACTTCACAGACTTTTGTGTGTGTGCAAAAGCAGAATGTTACACGGAGGTTAGTGCCTAGAAAATCCATCAGCCCTGCCTGTGCATAAAAACAGCCAGTGCGTCTTATCACGTCCTCTGATGCAAACTGGTTAAGATGTTACTTTTTATTGTCAAAAGAAGTCAATTTGGTATCTTTATTTTTTGTTGGTATTCAGGGAGACATCAGTTCCCAGCTCAGCAGCTCCACCAGTGATCTTCCTGACCTCACCAGACAGTTTTTTTTGTGGTCTGTTTGAAGTCGATCATTAGGCTCTGTGAATAACTGCTGAATCTACGAGGTATGTAAATGAAATCCGAGGTGGGATATTAGAGGTGAAAATGAACAATTTTTGAGAGGCCATTTTTTTAGGGTCTCTTGCTACCACACTCCAGCGATACATGTGAATGAATATTATGAGCATGTCAGCTGGAGTTACTCCAGCTAAGTTCTAGGGGTAATTGGCAATGACATAGTCCCATGATGTAACTTAGCTTGAGTAACTTCAGCTCTAATGCCTATCGCATTAGAGCTGGAGTCGAATGTCGGGCAAGTCGACCGTCGAGACAACTCGACTCGGGACAAGTCGACCATTGAGACAACTCGACCCTTGAGACAAGTCGCCCGGTTTGACAACTCAACTCGGGACAACTCGACCGTTGAGACAGCTCGACTCAATGGAAATGTATACGCGTGGAGCGGAAAAAGTTGCAATCTGTGGCAGGACCCGGGCACAGCACGGGCATACTCGATGCACAGAGGCGCGCTTCGATCCGGTGGCCGTCGCGTTGGGCCGGCGCGCCCCGCCTGCGAGGACCAGGCCCGGCCCAGCACGGGGCAAGTCGACCGGCGCAGCAAGTGGGCTTACAGGCCCGGCAAAAACAATGCCACCGTGCATGGCGCGGCCACATTGACCAGGGATAAGTGCGCGCACAGGCCCGGCAAAAAACGATGTCACCGTGCACGGTACGACCACGTTGACCGGGGATGTGCGCGGCCCGGAAAAACGGACGATGTGCACGGTCAATCACGCTGCGCTATATCGGCTCTGTTTTTTTTTTGAGTTGCAACAAAAAAACTCATGTGTCATAACTCCCAATCGGCGATCAGCCGCCGTCAAAATCCCCAGTACTATCCCCAAAACTAGGCCCCAAAACAAGTGAGTCGACTTGACTCGACGGTCGACTTGTCTCAACGGTAGATTTGTCTTTCCATTTATCACACATACGGTCGAGTTGTCTCAATGGGCGAGTTGTCTCAACGGTCGACTTGTCCCGAGTCGAGTTGTCTCAACGGTCCACTTGTCTGACCCCCCTGGAGTCACAACTACGTTAAAAGTACCGGGTCGTAAGAGTCCCGAAATCCCGGACTCTGTATCCCCAGTGCATTACAAAAACGGTTCATTTTCCATATATTATCCCGACCCAGATTCCATAATTCATACCTCATACGATGCAACAGGCATTTACGAAGCTAGTAATCGACTTCAAACAGGACAATGAAGACTAAAATATGAAATTTTTCAATGATTTTGGTGGCGATTCTCGAGAAACCATGAGAAAAGTCGCGCGACACTATTCTGCCGACCGCCGTTGACCCCCCAAAAAACACAACTTTGGCAAATAAAAACATCAGATTTACCTCAAAACAGCCTTCAAATTACTAGATACGCCACCTGAGGTACAAGGAGAGATCGATGATTAAAATCAAGGTGCTGAAGTTTGCTTACGAGTTGGATGAAAAGTGAAATTTCCCGTTCAATTCCGAGAGCTCCCCTCGCGATCTATTTAATTTGTGTATTTGTGATTTAATTTGTGTATTTGTGTAAGTCGGCAAAATGACGACTTGAGGCAGAAGCCGACATTCGCGTAAGTCGTCACAAATTCTCTGGTCCCGAGAGTGCCGTCTTAGCTGGAGTTTATTGTAGGATAAGTAAACAATCCAAAACCTGAAATTTTCGGGGATTTCAGGACCTAGTGCCCCTTTAAAGTTTATTTTATTGGAATATTATTTGAAAATCTTAAATGGAAAATTCGAGGGAAAAAAAATTATTCTAGAAATTAAAACACTGAAAATCGAACCGGGAGGTTTTCAGTGATGGAATTGTGCCAATTTGGTAGAAACAATAAAATTCACTTGTGATTTTGTGGTGTATATGAATAAAAAAAAAAGAAGTCTGCACATTTAATGCTGTGTAGTGAATATTCATGTTTGAAAATGTATTTACAGAAATAGTGTATGATAACATTTGTTAATTTGTTTATTTTATCATATTCACCATTTTAGCTCAATGAATACAAAGCTGTCATCACGGCTACCGAGGGATTTGAAGCTTCTCTACGGAAAACAGGTCAGTCAGCAGTTACACAGCAAACCAAAACAAATAATCATACAGAATATTTATATAATATTGGATGGCTTTGAGGTGGATACAAGAATATATTGCATGAGCTATGACAATATTGCACGAGTCGAAGACAATATATTCTTGTAACCCCCCCCCAAAAAAAAGCCATCCAATATTATTATTTTTTATATCGAGCTGACTTAATTCGCTAGAAATACAATTCAAGACACTGTCTTCATTTCTCCTTTTTCGTCAAACTATTTGAAGCTGCCATTGTAATTGTTGACAACAGTGCGCGTATATCTGGCCTGCTGCGCGCTGCATGCTTGCTGCGTGGGCGTCTTTGTTCAACGGTACCGCGCACTACGCTCTGTTGAGTGGTTGACAACTGTGAGTTTCCAGCGAAAATGCCTGGATGAGGGCGCGCCGGAGAATTTCCAAATGATTGCTATCTTGGTTCGTTTCACAAAAGCATACAATACGCTGATTTATTTTTGACCGCTGGAAGCCTCATATAAATAATAAAATAAAACACTGCCTTGAAGCTAAATATTTGAAATAGCAGAGAATTTCTCTTATTCAGGTTTTATTGCAGAAACTGCTTCTCCACTGCTGACCTACGCCAGAGATGTCAATGTCCACTTTGCTAACAAAAAGGTGAATTATTTTTTTAAGGTACTTCTCAATATGTTGTGGCAACATTTCTTTAATAGCAACATTCAGTTTGTTTGGACTTGTGACTGGACTTGTGACTGGACTTGTGACTGGACTTGTGACTGGTCTTGTGACTGGACTTGTGACTGGACTTGTGACTGGACTTGTGACTGGACTTGTGACTGGACTTGTGACTGGACTTGTAACTGGACTTGTGACTGGACTTGTGATTTACTTGTGACTGGACTTGTGATTTACTTGTGACTGGACTTGTGACTGGACTTGTGACTGGACTTGTGATGGACTTGTGACTGGACTTGTGATGGACTTGTGACTGGACTTGTGATTTACTTGTGACTGGACTTGTGATGGACTTGTGACTGGACTTGTGATGTACTTGACTACATCCCTGACATTGTTTATGTTTGGTTTATTTCATTTTTGGAAAGTTTCAAGAGCTGATAGTTGAAACCCGCAAGCTGATGCAGAGAGAGCTGCACAATACAAAGAGAGTCGGTACAATGAAGGTTGACAACAAGAACGTCAAAGATCAAAAACAAGATGCCAAGGTTAGAATTTGTTGGAAATTGTGCGCTTCAAGACTAAACTGGATTTGATTTTGTCATTCTAATCAGCCTTTAAGAGTTCTTGCAAGTTTAAAACATTAATTGAAATATTTATTGTTGAAATGTGTTGAATGAACTTATCGTATTAAATATGAAATTTCACTTGAGGACACTTGCAATGTAATTGTTTTTACTTCTTTCAGGACAAGTGCTACGTCAGCGAGGGTATCTTTGCACTGCCTGGGTGTGCAGTCAGTGAAAGCATAGAGTGTCTTGTTAATCTAGCCTACCAGACATTACAAGAAGCTGCTAGTAATACACCACAGTGGTGAGTTGGAAAATGTGTCCATCTGGCTTTGCATTTTCATTAATTAATTTGGGGAGCTAATCATCCTTACTCGCAGCAGAAGATGAATTGTAAAGGACACGGCTACAACGTGGTTGAGCCGAAGGCATGTTATGTACAAGGGCCTCAAGCAGCCGTCGTAAGACCCTCATGGCACAGGAGAGAATTAATGAGCAACTCTACTCACATATTAACCGATCCGGGAATCGAACCCAGGCCACAGCGGTGAGAGGTACGTTCTTTACGCACTGCGCCACCCATGCCAACTGCCTGATGTGATGTGTTTATGCTATTCTCACCATAGTAAAGTAAAGTCTGTTGTGAGCCAATATGGCCCATCAGGCTGGTGTTTACCTCCGGTTTCAGTAGCATGAAACGACTGAGAACATTTCTGTTTCCCACTGGATGGGATGCTAGTTCATCGCAGGTTACTCCCCAGCTAATGCCGGTACCCATTTATACTCCTGGGTGGAGAGAGGCAAGTGGGGGTGAAGTGGCTTGCCCAAGGACACAACATATGGCCAGCAGCTGGATTGGAACCTCTGACCCTCTGATCATGAGTCACGAACCCAAACCACTTGGCTGCACTTGTCCCAAGTCATGTGAAAAAGCAAAAGTGCCTTTTGTCCAAGCAAATTGAAATGTGTTGAACAAAATGTCAGAGAACACAATATATTCAACCTCAACCTACATAGTGTAAAGGATTTTTGCTAATGTCTTATTTTTATGTTTGCAGTGCCATCCAGCTGTTCTACACAGTGCGAAACATGTTTGAGATATTTTGTGATGTCGTACCCACATACCACAGAGATAGTCTGGTGAGTCAACTTCTGGACTTTTTCAAACGGTCATTTAGTAATACTGAATTTCATTATCATCTGCTAAATGGCATAGTTGCTCAAAACAATTTGTCTGAATTGCATAGATAGGTGCTCAAAGATTGTATTAGAGATTAGTCATGTACCATTAGGGGAAAAAGAAGACTTTTTCAGTGTGTAGTTTTTCTTCAAAATGATAACATGCCGGATGTTACAATTTTTCGGGTGCACCACAGAGTGACAAATCGTCTATGGACTTTGTGCACACCATACATGACTTTGTGGTGCAACTGACACATTTCATGGGAAGATTTTGTACCATTACTATCCTTTCACCAAATTGATTTTTGTAAATAAGTTGGCCAGTTTGTTTTCAAACAAATAAATTAATACATAAATCTGCCTCCAAGTCTGTGTCATGAAAATGTGAACATGTAGTGAACATAGTCAGAAGTGAACGTGAGTAGTCACTTAAGGCCTTTTTACACTAGAGCCTCTCAACCCGGGTTGAAAATCTCAACCTGTCAACTGTGATCCAATGAAGATCCAAATTTTGCAAAAGCAAATTCTACTCGTGTTTGAAATACAATAACCAAATATGAATTCACAAGGTCGTAACTCCATTCTGCAACAAAGTGATATCTTGCGCGAGTAAAAACGTTGTATCTCAAGGTCCATTGACTTTGTGTGTTACATCAGGGTTATTTTAAGTAAGATACGACCTTTTGACATTCTGAAACTTGTGTTTCACGAATGGCCCATTTTAGGAGATACGACCTTGTTGCATGAACACGACTAATTGCTAACTTGGGTTGTTAATGGCACATAGGGACATTTGCAATTAAACTGAAACATACCAGATTCGAACCAGCCAACCGATCCTGTTAGCTCGGTGGTCGAGTGGTAAGACATCTGCACTAGAAAGCAGGAGGTCGTGGGTTTGAGTCCCACCCGAGTGATTTTTTCCATCTTTCACTCGGGAGGTAACACACTGAGTATACAGTGTTTAAACGTCGGTGAAGGGCAAAACCTAATTTGATTGAAACATACCTACCGATTTAATGCTAGATTTGACCTACCTTGCTACGCCAACCTGACAACCTACCGCTTTAACTAGAAAATCCTAGCTCCAAGTGAAGATAGGACCGGTACCAAATAACCTATGAAACTATTCCGCCTGACATGGTATCATTTAGAAGAAAATAATCATTGAAGGTGCTTTTAGAAAGTGTGCCCGCTGGCACATATTTTTCATGTGTTATCAATGAAATCCAGTTATGAGACCCCTAAAATTGTGCAACCATTTTCTCTGTTTTCCGGAAATGTATAGTATCCACTGAGCTGAAACGTCAACAAGTTTGTTATGCACCCTTTTTATGATTGAGCAATATTATTGATTCGAATGAAAACAAAACAAAAAGCACAAAAAACAAATGTTCCTGTGTACAAAAGCAAGGATGAAAACAATGAAGAAAGTTATGTTGATATTGTCTTCAACTTACACAACAGAAATCTTGACATTTCTTTTATGTTTTTTTTTAATTTTTCTTGTGAAACAGCAAAAGCTACCCCAGGTGTGCGCTCTCCACCACAACAACTGCATGTACATCGCCCATCACCTGCTGACTCTAAGCCATCAGTATCGTCAATCCTTACCCCCGCCCCTCTGTGACGGCACGTCCACGTTTGTCGACCTCATCCCTGTCTTCAGGAAGCTGGCATCCGAATGTTTCTTGGCTCAAATGGTAACAAAAACAGCAGCCTATATTTTCTCATTTGTACCGAGTCAACACAGCCTGAATGTGTCGGGTTTCTACTGTACCTCCTGATATTTCAGTGGGACTAAACTTCAGCACTGAGTTGATTTTATTGGTCTAAAACTGTTATCCCGTTGTTAACCCTAGCCCTGCCAGATGCAACACAGTGCATCAGGCGCAAACATCTGTGGGACCTTGCTGCACTGAGCCACCAACACCAGTGCATAAACGGCCAATTCTGAAACATTGAGAGTTAGTCCCATTGAGCAATACCACAGTGGTATCCTGCTGCAGTTGGTGACCACAGACTCTGAGGCAGTTTAGCCTTGAGATTGCCCATCTGATGGATCTTGCTACACTGAGCAGGCTTGTAGACAAGTGTTGCATGTTGCTGCGTTTAGCAGGGTTTCTAGCCACAATACCCTGGAGGGTTAGGGTTAAGGCCAGTGTATCCTTCTTGGCTACGCCAATCCTAAGTTTTGACGTCACAACAGGTATTCATCCCACAGATTACAAAAGTTGCAACACATTTCAACTGCAGCAAATTTCACTTTGAATGTTATGGGAAATGTGCATTGCACTCACATTCAAGCGAAATAAATAAACTCTCCGTATCCTGTATTTGCATTACTGCTTCTTTGTTGCAGAGAATACAGCGAGACCAATTAGTGGAGAGTCTGTCTGGTGCAGAGGGCTTTGACCAAGTAGCCACTGACGACAACTTCTTGGCATGTGAGAGGGCCATTTTACAATAATCCAAAATTTTAGCCCAAGTGAAAAAAAAACGCCAGTTTCTTGCCACGGCCCGCTTCCTTTTTCCTGCTTGCTTCCTTTGTTGTGTTTTTTTTAATTCATACATTTACAAAATAATTTACAAATGCATTGTCAAATGTATTTGTTTTAAATGAAATTTGTAGAAGGGGTGACAGCTCCTTCAGGCACAATTTTGTATCAGCAAAAGAGTCAAGCAAATGCATCAATCAATTCATCATCTTGGAAAATCAACCATCTTGGGGGGGGGGGTGCCCGCCTCCTTAATTTTTTTCAAAGCCTCGGACGATAAACTATTTTTGTTTTTTTTACTCGGCCTTATCTAGGACTTGGATTTCCACATAAGAATATTCAAATATTCAATTTTGTTGATAAAAATGAAGTCAAAGTAAAGTTTCACCTCTGCCTTTTTGGCTAGGAATCTTCCCAAATCCCTTAAAGAAATCCTCCATTTTGCATTTCTGAAAATTACAGCAAAAGCAAATGTTGTATATTAAGCCTTTAACAGGCACGATTTTGTCTGAAATCAGACCTTTTGAATCTGAGAGAAAGACATTACCGGTCTCGAAAGGAATGCATCTTTCAGAGGCAATCTCATCCCTGTCTTTATCCCATTGCAGGTTGTCCATCAGTTGGGTCACCTCCAGCGAGTCTGGACCGACATCCTCCCCAGTAACATCTTCACCAAGGCCATGTCTACACTCATCAACACGGTACTCATGCACATCCTGGAGAAAGTCTCGTCACTTGAGGTGAGAAGATCCCTAAAGTATTTGACTGTTTCATGCAGGTATGTCGTAAAGAACACACAACTGATTGAATTCTGTACAAACCTCTGGCGTCTTGGCATGGGCGTCAGGCGCCGTTGGCAATGCATTAGATTGTCCCTCCCAGTGGTCTCCCTGAACTCTCCTTTTGAAAGTGTGGAGGTGGTACTTGTGCATGGAGTGCATAGGCTGCCAACAAATTCCTAACTCAACATGTCTTAGGGACTATTTTTAAGCTGTGGCAGGAGCTTCTACATGTCACTTGGTGGTCAGTTGGTCAGTCTGTCTGTCTGTCCCCAAAAATTGACCAAAAATCTTTGACCAAAAATTGAAAAATTCCATGCCGTTGTCAGTAAATGCACTCTAGACGAAAGTTATCGGAAAACGAGGTTTGTCTCGATCGATGCGTATGCGCATCTATTTTGCAAATGTCTGTCCTCGGAAAATTGAGCAAAAGCTAGCTCCCTAAGTTTCCAATATAATGTAACTACAACATTTTTCGCAAACAGAAACAGTGATATAGTTAACAAAAATTGTTTGTAACATTTTGTAAAGTTGTTTATGAAAATTTTGTAAAATGGAGGCAAGATAATGCTTAATAATGTTAATAGTCACGTAGTGTGTAGCCCGCTATTTTGATGGGAAACTTAGGGGGCTTATTTTGGTCAATTTTCAGCTCGTGATTTTCACGTGAGATGGCTGCCTGGGCTTGTTTTTATGCACAATCATTTCATGCAAGGTGACCAGAGCTTATTGTGCACTCGCACTTGTTTCGTCTGTGATATCCTTGTGGAATACTGCCACTAATTGGTTAGAACATTTTTTTTGTTGCTCAACTTGACAGGACATCTCAGCTGATGATGCGCAGCAGTTACATTCGTTACTCTCGGGACTGCAAGACAGAATTCCACACTTGATCAAACCAGGAGAAGATGAGGTAAGAAAGCAATTCCTGAATCTAATTTGTTTGTTGTTGCAGAATTTGTTGATAAGATGTTAGGTGGCCCACGAAGTGATGTATATCATGTGTTGAATAATGCACAGTGTGTTGCTTTGTGCATACCAAACATAAATACAAATGTTGGTTGTTTGTTTTTAACAAGCACATTCTGTTGAATGCAAACAACATATTACTGTTGAGAGGTGCATTATTTCACATTAAAAAATTGAATCACTGTGGTTTTTGTTAGGTGTGTAGCAGACTACTCCATAGCTTAGAAAAGTGTATGATCTCTGTATATATAGTTGCAGAGGATGGACACGACTGATAATGCATTGCTTGAACGATACGTGATTACCATTGCAAGCTTATGCTTCATTTGCTCATAAATTGCCCACAAATCCACTTTTCAAACAACTAGAAGTGCATGGGCGTCGCGAGGGGGGGGGGCAAGGGGAGCACTTGCCCCCCCCCCCCCCCGGAAAAGCCACAAAAAAACAAAAAAAAGAAGGAAAAAAAAAGAAAGAAAGAAAAAGAGGCGCGAAGACAAAGTGTTGTGTAAATTTAATGAGTTGGGTGGGGGGGCAAAATGTCCCTGCCCCCCTCTAAAACTGATAAAGCGAGAATGTGTTGAGAAATACAAGTATTTTTGGGCAAAAAAAATTTTGCCCCCCTCTAGAAAAATCCTAGCGACGCCCATGTAGAAGTGTATTCCTTATTGTTAAGGAGGTTGACTGTTCGTATTTGGATTGATGCGTAGGAACCAGTTTTGGTGCAGAGTACCGTTGATCAGTGGATGTCATTCAGCGAGATGCTGTTTATGTTAGACGCCAGCATGCAAGATATTGTCGACAGGTGGGCGGAGGGCAAGGTGAGATACAACACAAATAAGATTCAAATTATAAGCTGGAAAATTCTTTCAGGTTGAACAAAGAAATTGACTGGAGTGGGGTTTGGACCAATGACCTCCGGATTGTCGTTCCAGTGCTCGATCAACTGAACTATCTAGCCCTATGCTGGCAGTTCCCCATTTTAAAAAAGTTGTATCTTGTCTGAGTGATCCCCGTTTGGTATTTGTAGGTTTGCAGCATTGCTAATGTTGCTAGCATCGTGACTTAGGGCGTGATCCCTGGCTTCATGGTATATGTGGGATTATGGCTTCTGACTAGCACCCCTTGAACAAAGACATTGACAAACCACCAACATTGGGCTGGATAGCTCAGTTGGTATTAGCACCGGAACGGCAATCCGAAGGTCACAGGTTCAACCCCTGCTCCAGTCAATTTCTTTGCACAACTTTAAAATTAAAAATATTGTTTATGTTGGGAACTCCTCTTCTTGTCTAGTTGCTCTTTAAACATTTGAGACTGTGATTCTCTCCGTCATTCCAGGGACCACTATGGTGTTCAGCGCCAGTGACGTGAAGAGCCTGATACGGGCCATCTTCCAGAACACCGACATACGAGCCACAGCGCTCGCCAAAATCAGATAGGACCAGCCGGGAAAGTAAGCTGAGTTCAAGGCATATAGGATCATTTGCCATCATTTCATGAACTGGACCAAATTTAAGGGCTAATAATTTATAGCTGACGTCGTTCCACTGAGCTGTTCAATGTATTGTGTCTCCATGCTGAAAAACCACGAAAAAAAGCTGTTCTTTTTCATCCCTCAAAGTGCAGTTTGTAGAATCTGTCATGCATAGAACCCATAGGTCACAGGGAGTGCCTGAGTGCCAGCTCTGTCAGGGAAAAGTAATGCACAGATATATGTAGTGTACCCAAGCATATGCATGAAGTCAACAGCCAACTCACAGCTGTTTAACAGATGTAGTATTTTAGATAACTGTCTGTTCTCAGCGATGGTTGGGTCCGTATGATAGGCAGAGTGTGATATGGACCATGGTATATGAGATATTATCTTCATATAAACTTGAATCCTCGATCCTGATTGGTGAATCCATGGCAACAAGCCGTGCTACATATAACAATGTAGCACGGCCACAGTCCATACTGCACTCCGCATATTGCACTATTATAAGATGCGCGCGCCATTCCATACGAACATGAACAGCGGCATGTGTGTTTCATCTTACTGTGCCTCAAGTTTGCTTAAAGATGAATTTGTTATCGCGCTCACGTTTGTGGAACACAAAAAATGCAGTGCGTGTGTGTCCCACATACCACTCAGCCGAATGTGGGACACAGACACACTGCATTATTCCGTGTTCCACTCGCACTCGCGGGATAACTAATAATACCACATTGTTGCCATGGATCGACCAATCAGGAACTAGTCATGGCGCCTTTCATTTGCAAACATCAAAAACCAAAACTGCCAAGTTATTATGAAATATCTTGACTGTTAGTGAATAATAGTCTCAAGCATCCTGTGAAATCACGGCACCTGGTGTGCTGTCATTTTCAAGAAAAGTGGGATTTTGTATCAATTTCCACCGATGGTCGGCCCTGTTTGAGAGAGAAGCTTGACTTTCTGTCTGTTCCCATCCATCTACTGTTGCCGTATACCTAGATGTAGAACAAAAAGATATATTGCAATAGCTTTTTTTCCCACGTGCTGCATCTCCTTGGAATTCTTTGCTTGGTGCTTATTTCCCTCCAACCTATGATCTGTCCTGCTTCAAGAGGCCCTTCAAGGGCGTTGGATTGGTGGTCTGCGGGTAAAGCTGCAGGTTGTGGGTTTGAGTCCAGCCTGGGGTCATGGTGGGTGTGCCCTTGGGCAAGGCACCTTGTCACTAATTGCTTCTCTCCCACCCAGGAGTAATAGGCTATCAGCTTTGGTCCAAAAAATGGGCCACCGGTACCAGACGATTGAAAAGAGCAATGCTCATAGCGATTTTTTGAAAGGCATATCTAGAGTTGGAGAATGTGTGATAGCTTTGCAGTGTGAGTGGTGGCAGTTTTTTGGGTGTTATCACTTTTGATTTGTGTTTTCATTCAAAATGGCTGTACGTCAATATGCTTGAACCAAATAAATTATATGTGGTAATTACAAGCATGTTTTGGCCTCCATTTTAAAAAAGAAACAAGGGACAGCACCCAAAAAGCTGCCACCGCTGCAATGCTGTCGCATATTTTTTGACTAGAGGGGTGCATACCTTGCCAAACATCACAATGAGCATTATTCCCCTCATTTGATACTGACCAAACCCCCACACTGATGGCTTATAAGTGGGTACCTGTGAGGGCAGAGATGGTGTGGTTGATTTAGCTGCTTTGGGCCGACGTGTAGCCCTGTATATCTGGAGTGGCTTGTAGCCTTGTTCAGGGCGAATAGGCATAAAAAAAAACAAGTCTAAAACCCGAATGGGGATCTTTCTGTGCCTCCTAGACCACTGTTTGGTGGGGAACACTTGGTTTTACCATGAATTAATTGGAGTGGGTTAATCGTTTCTCTTGTTTTCCAGATTTTTATGCTCATTCAGAGTGAGAAGATCAAGAATGACTACACGTGTCTCTGGTTGGCAAGATGCTGTGAGTATTACCGTCAGTTGTTAATGACGTTTCTTCTTCCAACTTCAAAGTTGCTAATTATGGGAATGAATCTACCTGTTAAGCCTCAACTCATAATGTATTGACCATGCACTCACAACTGTGACTGCACAAGCAAATGTCCAACTAAAGTCACGACACGTCGCGTGCATGCATTTCATGTACTGCTGGAAAATCCAGAGTGGCATTAGGGAGATGCACATGTTGCCCATGTGTGAGGTAGACTGACGTGTCTCTAACAATGACATAACCAGCATGCACTTGCCCTGATCGTATATTAAGGATGTGACTTGGCGTTTTATTTTGTAAACCTTGAGCAAATATTTTACGAACTGTTTTAAACGTTTAGCCATTGACAGTGGTTTTTGCATACCCATTTTGTCTGATCTGCAGAGCGGCGTGATTGACATGATAAATCAACAATGGTTGACATAGTAAATAGCGGGCAGTCGTTGATAAAGTAAACATGTTCTACCTGTTCCCCAAATGTAATCAATTATGAGGTGCTTCTAAGGTTTTGTAAATTAAGTAGGTTTGAAAACAACGTTAATTATTTGTGCTACATATATGTGTGGTTGTCTCAAAGGAAGATCGGGTGAACGGAGATCCCTTTTATATAATTCGGGTTTTGTTTAAATGTTTTGAAAAATTAGTAAACGGAGTAAGAAGTTTTTTTGTTTCATACGTGTAAACGTCACATCTTAATCCTATATTTGCCATGTTGGATTTGTTCTATCACATTTCAAGCAGATTGTACGACAGAAATTTGCTACATTGAACATCCCTCTTGGCTCCCAAATATTGTACACAGTTACACTGAGCATTGCTGGCCGAAAATTGCTGAAATGAGCATCCACTGAACCGAACCATCTTTTGTGGACCCAATGTGTTTTCTTACAGCAGTATCCTATGTATTTATAACCTTTCTTTGTGTTGTTTTCGTTGTTCAGACATCATGAATCGTAAGGCCAGACTAGCCTGGGAGTTGTACCTTAAGATGGAGACGTCTGGTGAATCGTTCAGCCTGCTGCAGCTCATTGCCAACGACGGCTACAAGGTAAATCATCATCCCCTATTTTTGTCCGTTGGATGTTTGGTCAAGATTTTGGCATTAGCCCCAAATTAGTATCCAGTCACTCAATCTCAACCTGCAGCCGATTTCACAAAACAGATTGGTCACTTCGTCCAAACGCAAATGGTAGAGGAGACATAAATCTAAATATAACGCATGTGTAGAAAAGAATGCAGTATCCAGACGCTACTTCAGCGGTTGTGTACAAAGTCTATGGAGAGTCAAGAAAACTTTCCAAGTATTTCTGAACCAAATTGGAAGTGTTTCTCAGTCCCAGATTCATGTTTGTGAAACATTTTTGCAATGACTGATCTTTATTGAGATGATGTGTGAAGACAAAAGTGGCGTCAGGTTGCAACATTGTTTCCCACGTGTAAAATCAACGAGAATACGAATCCCTGTCAAAAAAAGAAAAAAATGATTCATTGCACATTTACCACTTTGTGTCATTAGCTTGAATAATGAAGGATGCACTTTTGTGTCCCAACTTTGGTAAGCATGTAGAGGGCATCATAAAATACTAGAATAGCCAAAAATCCCAAACTGCTTAAAATATTGATTTTTGGACAATTTCAACACGGTGGGATATGATCGAAAAATTCAGGCTTTTCATTCAAACTTCTGGTTTTTTTGCTCGACCTCAAATTGGAATTGTCAAGGTCTCCTCTCAATTTTCATATTCCAACTTTTCTGTCGGTAGATGGGCCAGTTCTACTATGCTTTCGATGTCCTGGAAAGATTGGACCCCAATCCTGAATACTGGGAAGGCAAGCGAGGGGCGTGCGTGGGCGTATTCCAGCAGATCATTGCTGGTCATGAACCAAGGTGGGTGTCATCTCTGTCAATCAGCAGTGCACACTGACCAATTAGATCTCAAATTCTGGTCAGGTGACTACAGTACATCAATCAAATAGTGCACACTGACCAATCAGATCTCAACCTTTGGTCAGGTGACAGTCAGGTGACCACAGTTCATCAATCAAACAGTGCGTACTGACCAATTACATCTCAATTAGTATATCACACCGGTGCTCTACCAACTGAGCTATCCAGCCCAATGTTGGCGGTTCCCTAATTGTCAATGTCTCTGTCAAAGGGGCGCTAGTCAGAAGCCCTCAACCCGCATATGCCATGCAGCCAGGGATCACGCCCAGAGTCACGATGCAGACCTGGGAAATATAAAACAGGGATCACTCAGAGAGGATACGGCTTTTTATTACAAATTTTCATGAATACTTTTCAACTTCTTACCCCTTTAGTTCAAATTCATTGATCTTTATGGATTTTTCCTTTGTCCCCATATTCTATGAACAGCTTTCATTTTCACTATTAGGTTTTGCCCTTCACCGACTTATAAACACTGTTTACTCAGTGCGTTACCTCCCGAGTGAAAGTTGGAAAAAAATCACTCGGTTGGGACTCGAACCCATGACCTCCTGCTTTCTAGTGCAGACATCTTACCACTGGACCACCAATCTCGTAAACTCGGTGGTCGAGTCATGGGTTCAAATCCCACCCGAGTGATTTTTTGAAGGGCAAATCTTAATATTGAAATGCATCATCCCGACGCAAAGTCCATCTTGTTAATAGCTTTTATTTTTATGTGCACAAAACCCAGTGAAGTTCAAGCCACTAGATTTTTGTCATTTTTTTTCCTCTACAGAGAAACACTCTGTGAGACATCCTCCAAATCTTGCGCAACACCAGTAACCCGCAGGTGGAATACATCATCCGTGTCATGAAGAAGTGGGCCAAGGACAACAGGGTACCAGTTTCCTGAGGTGGTCCCTATCCTAGTCTTGAGATTGTTTAGATTTGTACATCCCAAATGTCCTGCTTCGCAAAGGGATTTTCCAAAGTATTTGTTCTTCACATTGGGAAATTTGCCTTGAAATATTTCTCTATTTAGCTTTGGCAAGATGGTTATGCAGGAGAAAACAACAGTTCTGGAGAGAGGCTTAAGTCTCTCATGGCATAAACAAAGTAGGCTTGCCTGGTTAAGCTGGACTGTGTGACTCGGTCAGTGACTCAGTCAACAACTCAGTGACTCGATCAGCAACTCAGTGATTCAGTCAGATTCAGTCAGTGACTCGGTCAGTGACTCGGTCAGTGACTCGTCAGTGACTCGTCAGTGATTCGGTCAA